CCCCAAAACCCCAAAACCCCAAAACCCCAAAACCCCTTTACACTGTTACTCTGTTGAATCGTCCTACTGTTTCTTTATAAAAAAATAAGCTTAGGATTTAGCAGTATTTTCGTTAGCCCCCTCTTTTTGTTTTTCGAGGTCTTTTACGTCTCTTTTCTTAGTAGAAGTGTCTTCAGTCTTCTTTTGATCCATGTCTTTGCTCCATTTCATGTTTTTCCCTCTTTGACCAAATTTAGGATTTTTATGGCCAGGCTGGTAATAACCTTGAGATGGCATCATTGGGTAGCCATACATGTAGTTATAGGCACCATACATAGCTTGGTAGCTGGGATCATAGTAAGGATTATAATTCTTCCCTTTATAGCCTCCTCTCTTAGGTTTATGAGATTCTGTGGCATCATCTTGACCTTCCCCTTCTTGTTTCTCTTCTGGTTCATCATCGTTGTTGTGGTCTTCATTAGTTCTGGGTTTAAACCCTCCTCTTTTACCTCGGCCTCTGTATGACCCTCTCCCTCTAGAATATCCTCTAGGGTAGTATGGCATTGCCTGGTAGTGTTCATAGCCTTGATACTCTTGATAATCTTGCTCTTCCTCTTCTTCCTGTTCCTCCTTTTTCTGGGCTTTCTGTTTCTTAATGATCGAATCTAGGTCAAGATCTAATAATTTGTTGTCTAAATGCTTAGTTTGTCGTGCTGAATGACCACTTACCCTTATTCGACTTGATCTCACCTGATTTATCTGAATTAAATTTTCCTGATTTTTCTTTCGGCCAAGATCTATCTTGTTTGTACCCCCTTTCAGCTCCTTTAGACTTTGGTCGCATTATTATCTTACGGCCGTCTTCGCCTGTCTTGACGAAGGATTTAGGACCCTTATCACTGCTTTGTTCTTTCTTTGGAGCCTTATTTTTGGTGTTGTCAATAGCTTTCTTAAAGATTTTGCCTGAACCCTGCATATTTTGTGTTTTTGGAGCTTCTTTAGGCTTTTCAGCGGCTTTTAATTTTGGCTTTTCTACAGCTTTTGGAGCTTTGATAGGTCATCATTTAGGGGTCTCTTCCCAAAGCCACTCTGCAAAGTCACTACTGTTGTCTTCAATAAACTCCTTAAGATCTTCAGAAACCTTGGGTTTAGGATTATTTTCTTTCACAGCGACCTGAACGATCCAAGCTGAGAGTGTTTGATCCTGTAGGATGTATCCATATCCATCAGTGAGCTTCTTGTTTATACTTTCTTGCAGAAGCGTTAACTTGCTGTCTATATCTGAGGCATCTAGCTCGACATTGAGTCAATCCTTATCTAATTTCTCCATCTTGTTGTTAATATGAAGGTTTGTCAATTAATTTCTAAATATTGGGGTTTTGGGGTTTTGGGGTTTTGGGGTTTTGGGGTTTTGGGG